ACAAAATCAAAATAAAAATCTATCATCAACGGAAGTGGAGGAAATGCTGCAACTTAAGAAAGGCTGTAAGAAATTAATTAAAGAAAAAAAGTAGAGCTCAACAGATAGAATGGGAAAAAGTCATCAAAGCAGTCAGGGGGAAAGATACAAAATCATTTTGGGAATCCATAACATTAACTACCAATAATCTTTCAGTTAGGATGGACTGCTATATTAATGCTTGAGTGTGGAAAGCCCACTTTCCATGAGCTTTATGCCAATCCCTCATTTCATGTGAGTCATTTATATATCAATCTATCAGAATGGCACCCTGCATCAATCTCTGAAATAAATGACCTTGTGAACCAATTGAAAATTGGCAAGGCCCTGGGCTGTGATGGTATTACTCCCAAACTTATTAAGAACAACTGTGAATGGTGAGCCCCAATTCTGGCAAACCTTTTCACTTACATTGACCAAAATGCTCACATGCCATCTGAATGGGGCACAGCCATTATTATCCCCATTTATTAAAAATGCAAGAAAGACAATCCAGCTAATTATAGGCAATTCAGTTTGCAATGCATAATTAATAAGCTTTATGCTAGACATTTATATTGGAAATTGATAAACTGGATGGATTCCAAGAGTGTTCTGGCAGATGAACAAGCTGGATTTAGATCTGGTAGGATTCTACACAGGATCGTGCCCTTATTTTAAGGCACCTAGGAGATAAGTATTCTAGGAAACGTTGAGGATCCTTATTTGCTGCCTTTATCGATCTTAGATCGGCCTTTGATTTAATTTCACAAATAGGTTCTGGAGTAAGTTAGAGTCTTCCACAATAGATCGACGCCTTCTGCTGCTTATGTATAAGCGGCATGAAAATACAGTACAACGCTCAGAATTAGATGCAACAAGGAAGGACACTTGTCTGATAAAGTTCCAACCTATAATGGTGTGAAGCAAGGCTGTATATTAGCTCCATTGTTATTTAATTTCTATATCAACTCAATGGTAGCAGCACTCAGCCATCCAGAGTTCCATCCCCTCAAACTAGCCAATAGACATATATCACTTCTGTTATACGCAGATGATGCAGTCCTAATTTCACAGATACCAATAGGACTTAAGAGAGCTTTATATGCTCTAAGACCAAAGTTTTAGTGTTTGCTCAGAGGCCCAGGATCTATAAGTGGTTAATTGATGGGCATCAGATAGAGCAAATAAAGGCTTAAAATATTTGGGTGTCCTCCCTCAGTACAAAGGAAACCACAAGGCTCATGTTAACAACGTGGAACAAGCAGCACAAAAAAACTAGCCTTGCTGTATTAAAATTATTCTACACTAAAATTATTCTACACAAATTCTGGTACGTACCAGCTGCACTAAGATTGTTCCAGGCCAAAACCCTTAGTCATCTCTTGTATGGGCACAATTGGGCCCCTACTCTTCATTTATCCAGTTAGAAGTAGTTCAATCTAAATTTGCGAGGGCTATCTTGCATGTTCCAAGAGGATGCAATGCAGCCCTTAGGCTTGAAGTGGGCTACCTGAAGGTTGAAGACAGAGCTTGGCTGGCTATTTTTAACTTTTGGCTAAAATTAACCATTCAACCTTTGGACTGACTTCAGTAGTATTACAGGATAACCGTCAGTCACCTTGGAAGAGAGTAATACACAATAAAATCAACAGGTACAGCTATTCGGTTGAATGTATCCAACGAATGGGATACATTAAGGCCAAGAGTAATCTTAGGCAGAGTATTACAGTGGTGGCCCGCATAGCGACGATAATCCGTTCCGGATAAATCGTCGCTATCCGGATTCGTCGCTATACGGGGCAAAAAACCCCCATAGGAACGCATTAAACCCTGTTTAATGTGTTCCTATGGAGGGAAAACTCACCGTTATGTGAAGATCCTCCATAGGGGCGGCCATTTTCGGTGCTTCTAAAGCGAGGCAACACAGTGGGCAGCCATTTTGGAACCACCGATCACCTGTGCGAAAGTGGGGCCCTTGGGAGGACCACAGGGAGGGCTCCCCCGCGGTTTTCCCAAAGCCCTAGCCGGCATTTTCGCCCAGCTGAGCGGCGGGAGCTTCCAAAGCCATCGCCTTACACCCAGCGTATACATCCCTGTAACTCTGGTGAGATTGAAACCATCTCCCATGTGTTACTTCATTGTGCTTTTTATTCTGGTATTCAAGAAGTCCTCGTTAACCCTTACATAAGGGCATTTCCTGGATGATCGTAGGTGCATTACACACTGCTCTTGCTGACAGCGCAATGTCCTGGCAGATATACTGGGCTAAACCAAAATTCAGATATTTTGACAAAAGTAGCTAAATCCTGTGCTGCTGCAATCAAAATCCATGAAGGAAGGGTGCCACCCAAAGCGCAGCTATAGTCTCTGTAAACTGTTGTATACACTTAGAGGCCTTAATGATCATACAGGCTCTATGAGCTTCTAAGTAACAATTCTGTTTTTCTGTGCAATCTACAATAGCCCAAGGTCTGTGATAGGGAGGCAGGAGATATGTAATATGTATGAATGTAGTTACATATATGTATATAGAGGTTTTTAGTGCTTTTAGATTGATTTTATGTTTCCTAATTTAAATAATGTTGCTTATTTTGCTGGTCAATTACCATATTATTATTATTATTATTATTATTATTATTATTATTATTATTATTATTATTATTATTATTATTATTATTATTATTATTATTATTATTATTATTATTATCATCATCATCATCATCATCATC